GTTTAAATGGGGACAGATACGTCAAATATATATTTCAATACCATTTGATAGAGTTAACCCGCGGTTAGAGAAGAAATTTTATCTGTATAGTGCTAATAATAAATTATAAATTAGGTAATCCTAGAGATACAACACTTCCGCTGGAAAGGTCGAGTATTTGTGAGATTTCATGTAAAGATTGTAATCAGAAATATGTTGTGAAACTAGAAGATCAATATCAATTAGATTTAAAGAACATATAGCTCAGATAAGATATGATAACCGGACAGAACTTGCATTGCTCAATATATTGTTTGATAAAGATCATTGTATATGCTAATAATTTTAAATTAATTAAACAAGTCTCAAATTACAGGCAATTAGATGCATGAGAGCATCAAAATTAATAAATGTAAAGATCATATGAATAGAGATAATAGTCCAATTCGTTCCAGTTCCCTGTTCCTATTATTTTAGTTTCGGTAATTAATTGCTAAGCTCGGTTAATTTTGACTCAATTGGTTGGTTTCGCCACGCCTAGTCAGTGCTAACTGAGCGCCTATATTAGTTTAGTTATAATCATCTGCTGATGATGCCAACATGATTAACTAAACGCTCGTTCAGTGCAAAAGTAAAATATTTTGGTGTATTGTGGTGAATTAGTGTTTTATTTTGCTGTTGTAACACTAAAGGTTCCAATCCTTAAATGTTTAATGTGTTAGTGATGCATAATAATAATAATAAAGAACTTTATTCACATCTGACAGAAACATTATGTAAATTAAAATAAATAAAGATACTGGAAGTCCAAAATTCTTTTAGTGTATCAATAATAAACAACTATATCAAAAAAATTATCTAAAACTTAACAACACGTAGTCCAACTCTGTTACATTTAGTAATACTAATTAAATTCTCTCATTCAAAAGAAAATATCACCATTCATTTTCCATAGGACATTTTCAAATTAATTATATCAAAAGGTATTTGAGCCGAAATTGTTCATTTGAAACCAAATAATAAAATTATTCTGGAGAAATTTTAGATCAAAAGCAACCTGGCACATGTATTTCACGCTTATTCGATTTAGACTCTCGACAATTAGGAAAATCATTAATTATAACCGTAAATTAAATAGCAACAGGCCAATGATACGATAAAATCAGTAGTTTTGTTCAAATGTTAATTAAATGGATATTTACCACTTTAGATTGTAAGAGAATGGGGAAGTTAATCACCATGACCTTATAGATCTATTGTTTCCCTCTTTCTTGAGCTATAACTCATCATATAGTCTCTGGACTTTGACAAAAGTCAATATCTGAGACGGTTTTACAGAGGTTAGTTCTCCATCTATTCTGGTGTTTCCCCATTTTTCTCACTGAATCTGCATTTGTTGTTGTTTCTTAGCTTCAATCTACTGACTTTGCTACTGAGGGGTTCATTGAGGAGAGTGTCCTGTTAAAATCTCCGTGATAATCTGAAGATTGTTCTTAGAACAGAATAGCAACCACAAACATTAAAATAGATATTGTATATCAATTAATTCAAAATTAAAAAAGTTAAAGATGGATGTGAAACAGTTATAGCTGGTATAATTGCTAGAGACGGTTGATTTGTTTAACACTTGGCACATAACTGCAGCAAATGCATTATTTGTTGAAATATTTTTATATAATTTTTTATCCTTGATGACCTGTGGGTATAATTGATGGAATAACCTTTTTGTGTAAGTATCGATTGATTTGATGGTTCATAGGTTAATTGAGAATAGAATGCACACCTAGAAAAGGTAAAATATAATTAAAATTGATTTACTTAATTCTAGTTTACATATATAAATTAAATTAAATTAAATTTCATTATTATATTAACTACAACAAATAGTCTGGGTCCTCTCATCTAAATCTGAATTTTCCCACTTTCTTTAGAAATAGTTTTAAGTACCCCTCATGATATATGAGAAATTTGAGATGGATAAATGCTGCCATGGTAATTGTAATTTATTTGTTATAAAGCTCAGCTTGGCATTCTGTAACATTTCTTTGTACAAATAATTTGGATAATTTTAACTTTTATGACTTGTACCCGTATTTTATTGTTTTGTTACTTGACTTTGTTTGTTTGACAAATATGTTTCACTTACTTTGATTGTTTTTTTATTTATAATATTTTTAGCTTCCGGGCCTGAAGATGGGATTGTGATTCTCGAAACATGTTGCCTAAATTGTTTAAATAGTAAAAATTTAAAAGACTGTGTTAAAAGACTGTTTTAAAAGACTGAGTTTGAGTCTACTGTCCCTCAGTAGAGGATTTTAACTAATAATTTCTATTAACAAATGAATTTGGAGATGAAGTAAATCAAGTAGGATTTCTTTAGCATTAGACGATGTAAAGTGAGTAGAATCCGCACACATCTAAGCATGTTGTACTTGCAATTTCGACCATACGTTTGGACAACTTGTCTCTAAGAAGAATGAAGGTACGATAGCCCTGTTACGTTTATATATTCCTAGGGTTTCCATCAAGTGTCTACCACAAATTCTGTGGCATGCCCATAAATACTCATACCCGTAAATTTTCTTCAAGTAAGAATTATAGCTAAGATAATAATTATTTTCTCTCGTTTCATCTTAACAATCGTAACATGCAACAGATGAATCATTAATTGAATTCCTTCATTTGTTTACTTGAATATCGTCATTTACTATAGAAGGTATATAGGGACCAACTCCAACACTTCGTTTTATGCCTAAACTTGTCTACTAAACTTGTTTATTTTACTTTATAAATAAGTCTACTCATTTATGGAATAGACGCTCTAAAGTGTAAACATCTTATTATTGTCGATATAGTATCGTTCCTAGAAACGCTATGCATTGTGAATAAATAAATACTTAAAGTGATTTGAAGAAATTGCATTGAATCATAAAATAGAAGAAATAGCATCAGCAGAATTCTATAAATTATATTAGATAAGATAATTATATTAGATAAGATAAATTTACTGGTTTTCATTTTCCTATGTGATATTAAGAGGAATTCCTCCGACTCTAGGTGCCAGATCACCAAGAGATTATAGGTAATGAAAAAGCAAACGATCTAGTTGGAAAAGGAGCAAACACTCCACTAACTGAACTACTATCCGTTCTGCTTCCCAAGTGGATACCAACTTAAGGCGGAACTCAAGAACCTAGACGACTCCATCCATAATCCGGAGTAGGAATCGTCCAACGGTCTAAGACACTCGAAAAAATTTCTCAGATCTTACGACCGTGAAAAATCAAAGATTTTCATTGAATTAAGTAAGAACAATCTTCAGATTATCACGGAGATTTTAACAGGACACTGTCTCCTCAATGAACCCCTCAGTAGCAAAGTCGTCTTGAAGCTAAGAAACAACGACGAATGGAAGTTCTATGGGGAAATGCGGGGACACAGCAAAACACCTCATGGGTATTTTAAAGGCACTTTACGTAAAAGATATCAGCGTTTATTTAGTTAGAATAATTCGAGCTTATTTATCTAAAAGATTCGTATAAATAGACAAATATGGAAAAATGTTCCGTAATATTCTATTTTTGGTCTCGCCTGGCGTGAACCTGTTCTACGATAATATTCTTCATCTTGACATGGATTGTGGATGTTAGCGTCGCTTATGCTGACGATCGTAACTAGGAGCCGCATCCAAAGCATTCTAGTAAGCTAAAATCATGGTTGGGGCAATGGTAAAGAATCAGCTGCAAGATGGAACTAGAACTGGCAATTAAAAATCAAAAGCTCTAATACTGACTGGCCGTAAGAAAATATCGTAAATAGAAACAGAAATAGATGTACATAAAATAGAAAGCATGCGAGCAATAAAATTTGATAATTAATACACAAGTTAATAAATCACATGAGAGAGATAATCTATATTAATATATATTCTCTGCGCAGATAATACTGGAAAAGAATGTTGTGTCGCAGAAGTTGTAAAATACCTAGTAGAAAGTGAACAAGAGTGGCAGGATGCAGTAGGACTTATGAAATATATCATAACGACAAAGATTTCTGAAAGAGATACTGCCTGCTCACCAAGGGATAGAAGGCAATGAAAAAGCAAATGATCTAGCTAGAAAAGGAGCGAACACTCCAGTAACTAGACCAGAACAGTTCTGTTTTCCAAGCGGGAATCAAGTGAAAGCGGAACTGAGGAATCTGCAAGACTCCATCAGTAACGTGGAATGGGTGTCCTACAACGGTCTAACACACTCGAAAAAGTTCTTCAGAACTTACGACAGAGAAAAATAAAAGGTTTTCCTTAATTTAAGTAAAAACAATCTTCGCGCGGATTGTCTAACAGGGCACTGTCTCCTCAACGAACACCTCAGTAGGCTGAAGTTGAGAAACAACGGCGAATGCAGATTCTGTGGGGAAAATAGGGAAACATCAGAACACCTTATCACTGAGTGCGCCGAGACGACGACCATTCGAGCCATGAACTTTTGTAATGCTGATGTCGAAGATGGAGAGCTGGCCTCTGTGGAGCCCTCTCAGTTACTGGCTTTTGTTAAAGCCCTGAGACTCTATGACGAGTTATAACTCGTTATAACTCAAGAAAGGGGAACACACAATAGAGATCTGTAAGATCGCGGTGATTAACTCCCCTCCTAAACATTCTACATTCTACATAAACAGATGAGTTTTAGTTGATAGGCCTACTAACTTGATTGTCCAACACTATTTTTCCTAGAATATAGAAAATCGCATGTTAAATTTACAAGCAGTGAATAATTCCAGTAATTGATAGTGCCAGTCGTTTGTAGTTTGTTAAGTGGTCCCGCACATGCGTACAATCATGTTGTTTTGGAGTGTTTGTCATCAATAACATCTTATCGCTTTTGATTTCATGTTCATTGCTCCCGCTACATATAGTATACTACAAAATAACTATTTACAAGATAATCTATTTAAGATATAACTTTTGAGAACCCCTTAAAAACGTCTGATCAGCTAGATATATAAAACACGGGCTTGATAAATATATCAGTAATTAATATCGAATCTTTGTATTGTTAAATCAATTGCCTAAAGTTAAAATGCTGCTGTTGTCATTAGTTCTATCATTTTTATTGATGTACCAGGGTAATTGTATTTTTTTAGAAAAGTATACCTCAGATCCCGCGAATTTTGTCAAAAGTGTATTAAATAAAGTTAATAGAAGTGAAATAAGTTTAGAATCCGAATGTCTTTCACAGCTCGGCCAATTCGTGGATAACTTACAAAAATTCGATGATGGACTTTGGGCGTTACGAAGTAAGAATTCAAGTTTGCAGAGTTGTATTTTGGTAAATACACAGAGTTGTATTTTTATAGTTATGGTTATTATTAAGGGAGTGTTTATTTATTACTGTATAGTATAGAGAGAACATTACAATTTGTGCAATTTTAGAGTTCTGAAAAAAATCATCCAAACTTGGATATTGTCTATATAATACGAGTATAACTTTATTATTTGAGCTTCATTCAGAACCTTGCAATTAGTGGTTTCAATTAGGGTATAAGTTTGTTCCTCTAATTTGAATGTAAGCATTCAGAACATCAAAATTAGTGGTAGGAATTTTCAATTAGTACAATAAGTTTTAACAAAGTTTAAAGCTTCATTCGGAACCTCGCAATTAGTGGAATAAATTAATGATTTTAATTACACTTTATACTTTTTAGTTTACAATTATTGTGAATTTAAAAAGTGTGTTTCAAAACCCAATTAAAATTAATAGAATATCCTAGCAATAGTTTGCGTTAGTTAGTTGTATCCATAAAGAAAGCCCAATATTCAGCTTATAAAACAATCAAATTTTGATTTCTAACCACCCTCTTGACAGAATATAATCAAAGGGCAAAATTATATTTCTCGCAAATTTTTAAGTATAATAAGTGGAGAAGTTAAAAGCTTGGTAACTTTTTCTACTAATTGAAAATGTCTACCACAAATTTTGACGTTCTGAATGCTTACATTGAAATTAAAGAATTTGCTGACAAATATATAACCTGTTCTACTTAAAGAAGCTATGCATTGTTCAATATTTTCAAAACGAAATATCAAAAAAACTAACAAAGCCACTGAATAGCACATAAAAAATTCCAAAATAATCTGTCATTACCTTTTTAAAACATTTAGACCACTGAAATACTAGGGCTAACTGAAAATGCTGAACATTTCTATATCATCCTGTACCATGATAGTCACATTAAACTAAATAAAGGAACTGTAATTTCTATTTTTCTATCTTAAATAATACTTAAACTAAGAACATTTGATAGGATAGGAGATATTAAATAATGTTTTTGGTTAAAGCACGAGTGTTTTAGTGATTGACGCCACCGCAAAATGGCCAGCTGGGATAGCTAAAATAAATTGGGCATGGCTTGGAAGCTTTGACGAATGTTTGGAAATCGAAAGCAAAGCAAAAGATGTTCGAGGAAGCTACTGCCTTATATCAATCAGTCTGGAAAAATTAACAACGATGACATTAAGGGTAAAAATTGATCATTTCTTATAACAATCATTAAATGTAAGATTACGAAATGTATGTACTATACTCTCACGGCAACAAACTAGTAAGTGCAAGTAGTGAATTATAAATTTAAGATTATCAATCAGCTTTTGAATCTTTCAGGAATATATTAAAAAAGTTGTACTATAGTTTCAGTATTATATAGAATTTTCAGTATTATATAGAACATAATATGTACTTTCCAGATTTTTTGTTATACTGACACTATAGTATGACTAATATTATGATCACCTTAAGGGAATCATCCAAAGTAACAAGTCGATTTGTTTAAAGTTTAGTTTACTTCACAATCACCAATCGAAATTTGAACAAATAAAGTAATTTGAGTAAATAAACGTAAAATCATATTTATTTTCATACCAACATGGGTCCGATTCTGCTTAGTTTCGTAGCTAGAGAATTCGAATGAAATTTTAAAAAGGGGTAAAACAGTTACCATACGTGCACCATATTTTAATGCTATAAAAGTGTCGATATATTCACCAGGGACGTACATATAGGTTATCACTGCAATATTTTTCTAAAAAAGACATGTGCGCCTCTGACTTTCTTTTTCCTTGTTGGCAAAATTGTGTGGGCTGTTTAATGACAATTAAAAGTATCTTGATATTTTGTCGATTTCGATCTCCTTAATGAGATAAAGGCAATTTTATTAATTTGCCTTAATCCAAATGATGTTATTAACTGAACAAAGTATTAAATAAGTATTAAGATTCCTCATCAAAAAATATGAAAAAAGTTCCTATAAACATGGGTACGAAAATGCAGAGCTTTAAAGTTACCGGATGTTATAACTTTAAAAAAAATAGGGTTTTTGTAATTATCTTAAATATCGTACGTTTTCCCTTCTTCGTCGATTTATTAAAGCAATGGCAACAACGGCTTGTGAAAATTGTGAAAGCAGTCAGTCGGACCTTAAAAAAACACGCGGATGAATAGCGCAGACGGTCCACTCCATGTGAAACAGCAATTAACGTGAACAACACTTACCTAAAAAAAATCTAAATCAGTATAAATTACTAAAATAAACTTGATAATTGACTCATTATTATCTAATCTAATTTTGATCCAGTTATGTGATATAGTATATAGTAATTGTTTAAATGGTTAGATAATGAATGGCATTAAGCAAGAAAATATCCACTTTCGATTATCTATTTGTTGACAAACTCTAGAATGAATAAATAAATATTGCACAAAAGTTTAAAAAATTATACAATAATCTATTAATAAAAAGAAGATGTTCATCTGTGGACTTTAAAAATATGGTTGTAAAGATTTCTGTGTATCTTTCCGTTCTTTCTATCTTAATTGAATAGAGAATTTATTTGATACTATTAATTTACAATATAAACAAGCATCAAATATTTTTAGATTATCAATAAAACAAACAGTTATTAGATACCTATATTACTCCAACTAATATAATTTTCGCACCCAAAAATTGTTTAGAAAGTAATTACTTAAGTCTTTACTGTATATTTTATAAATTTATTTATTTATCATATTTTATCATTAACCTTTGTATGTTTATTATTATGTATCAAAAACAATCACTTCATCACTGTGAGTCATACGATATCATGAGGATCGTATGTTTTTCAGAGTTGGCTTGGATCGGTGACATCTTATATATCATGATCCAATTCTATGCTAATTGTCATTGATCGTTGTTTCCAAGCCATCTCAGATATTTTTATCATATTTAGGTATATTTATTTAGTAAATGGATATTTTAGGGTGTCGAACGACAACGACTGATCGCTGATCACAAGAGAAAAGGTCGCGAATTTTCCAATACATCAGTAGTTTCCTTTTTGCCTTCCTTTGGTATTTGTGTTCCAAATAAAATGTACTAGTGACATAGAGTCAATTATTGATGCGTTTGATGATTTCACTTCCATGCCATTTGATGTGATGTGTCAAACAAAAGATGACAATGTAGAAATAGATATAGGAGCCATAATTACAATGTAAGCTATATGTAGTGTAATTAATTTAGACATAATTGAAACAAAAAAAAATATTATAAATACCGTTTGATCGAAAAGAGGCTGCGACAAAGACGGCTGGGGAATAACAATCAATACTAATTTTAGCGAGGTTAATCTCTAGACGTCATTTACTAAAAATTGACGTCAAAAATTAACACTAATATAGAAATATTAAAAAAATAGAACATTTCCAGACACACAAATATATTTCCGAAAAATTATTGTTTTCTCGAACTTTAGACTACATTACAGACCATTTAAAAATAATGTTTACTAAAATAAAAATAAATGACAACATTCAGGCCAACTGGCTGTATGAGGCGTTAAAAAATAAAGAAGAGAACGGGCCAAAGATATGACTTCTAGGGCTCGACCTCGCCAAAATTGTAATTGATTGTTATTACGACATGACAGCTATTAGAGCAGACATTATTTGGTTATTTGAGTTTGTCTATTATATTACACTTATAGTAGGAGAAATATACAGATTGATAGATTATTTTGAATATTTTGAAATTTTACACTGTATAATTTAATCTTTATCTAATTTTCTAACCCTTATATTCTGCCTTGTTGATTTTCGTAAAGTAAAATTCATAGCTTAGTTAAATTATAATTATACCGGGTGCGTCTCAAAAGTGGCTACCACCTATAACTTTTTTATTTATTTAGATAAATAAACCAAAATTGGTATGTTTGGTTTGGTTTGGTTTTGTTTGGTATATGACTAGGATTGATTGACGTATTCAGTTGTTTTCGGTCACTTCCCGTTTCACCGGAAATTAATACAACTTTTGATTTTTAAATGGCACCTGCGATATTTTTTTTACTTTATTCGATAGAAATTCGATTAAAAAATACAAAAAAATCTGAATAGACATATCATATGTCAACTTTTGACATTTTCGCTTAAAGCAAAAATTGTATTTTAAATTTCAATCTAGAGTTTCATGGCTGTGTTAAAAATACTAATTTTTAATCAAGGACCCTTGGAAAAATAGATTTGATCATCTAATGTTTTTAGTGTCTTATCCTGGCCGGTTAAAAGATGCCCAAATTGTATTTTAATCATATTTCAATTTTTTCAAATAGAACGATGATGGCTCATTAGCATATTTGAAAAAAGCATTTTTTTACGAATAATTTGGTACCACACACTTGGTATTTCGAGTCAAATTATCGTTACGAATCGCATATTGCAATTTCAAATAAACGATATTCGAAAATTTCAAAAGTTGACATATCATTCTATTCAGAGTGTCATTTTCTATCGAATACAGTAAAAAAAAATACCAAGAGTGCCATTTAAAAATCAAAAGTTGTAGTCATTTCCGGTGAAACAGGAAGTGACCGAAAATAATTGAATATGTCAATCAATCCTAATTTATGTCATATACTAACATACGAAATTTCGATTTTTGATCTGAAAAAATAAAAAAGTTTTAGGGGTGAGCCACTTTTAAAATGCACCCAGTATATAAAAGTGTAAATGAGAAGTATCTTTAAGCATCTTGATTTCCTTATTCAGTTAAAGATCTTTATTTCTCTGCCATATCTCAATTCTCAATTATGACCAATATATGTTTATTGATTTATGAGCATATAATGAATTTTATATATGAATGTAAATAACATTAATGAATATTTTTCAGAGGATTCTTTGGAGCATTTATCGCTCTAATGTTATTATCTACAGCATATGACACATATTACCAATTTCAAAAACAAGGTAAGTTGATGCTTAACATATACTCAAATATCAGAATTATTATAATGAAACAATTAATTAAGAAATAATGTTAAGGTACAATGTAGCCAAGAATAATTATTATGATTGATTAAAACAAAAATTTCTGTTAAGATAAATTTGAAGATAATAAGACCAAGGACAGTCATTGGTCAATCATATTGTAATTATTTTTAAATTGAACCACTCAAGTTTTGAGTAGATATTTAGGTCTAGTATAACTATAAGTTTGCCATAATGCCATCTTAAAAATGTTCTTAGCTGATTGTCTACCATCATAATTATACTGTAAATGTTTAGAGTTCCAAAGTACGTTTTACTAAGAATTATCATGGTATTAATACAATTACTCGTGTACTTGGCATGTACATTTGTTATTGGCATACAGGGTTCGGCAATAATGCTTTGGGCATCTGTAGCTCCTATAATAAGCAACTTTTCTACAAGAAATTTTCTATAAGTACAAACCTAAAGTATCTATTAGATATATCCTAATAAAATCATGAAAATATCTTAACTTCTACAGGGTGACTCAAAAATGTGTGAGTGGATCGGAATGATTTTTTTGAATGGAATACATTCTATATTATTATTATTACATTGTTGGTATCCCTCCTGATCACTTTACATGATCCTAAGATATTATTAAATATGTTTTTGTAGTTTCAGAGATATTAATAAATAAATAAAAAAATATATTTTTTAGCCATTTTGAAAAAAATTATTAAAAATACAAGAAATGCCCTGAAATAAAAACTATATATTACGTACTATACGTTACATACTTTAGATTTGCACTTAATACACATACAAAATTTCTGAGTTGTTTATTACAGTAGCTATATAGGTTAGCTACAGATGTCTAACACACTATCGCCTGACCCTGTATGCCATTAACAAATGTTTG